TGTATTAATTTTTGCTTCTAGCTCACAATTTGTTTATGTGAGTGCAGTTTGATTGTGTTCAAGTACCAACATTTGTGAGACAACCAAGTACGATAAGTTTAAAATAATTTCTTTTTTTTATCTTAAGAAAATTTTTATTTTTCTTAAAAGTTTGTTTGGGTTCGCCGTTGGTCTTTATAAATGTCCTTTGTGTGGCTTGTCATTGCAGAGAATACCTGATGTGTTCTCGAATTTACATGGTTGTGGTCTTCCTTCCAGTTGGGTAGTCCTATTTTATTTATCTTTGATGTTTTTATGGACATTGTTGGAGCATAACTGACTAAAAAACTCACCAATTCTAATTTGTGCTTTAGTTTTCTTGCTCGAAAATCATGCAGGGATTATCTTAGTTTATGCTTCCTTGATTAAATATCAAAATTCCGAAGTTTGATGAGTCTTTTGGGTTGTGAAGTTTTCATGTTGTATTAATTTTTGCTTCTAACTCACAATTTCTTGATGTCAGTGCAGTTTGATTGTGTTCAAGTACCAACATTTGTGAGACAACCAATTTTGCTTGGTTCAAGAGAATTATTATACTTGGTTCTTCATGATACTTCTTGAGAAAATTTTCCTGTCATGCCACAGCACTCGGAATATGATGCCACGGACAAACATTAGAGGGTATTGTATTTGTTCCTGATTATGAAATGCCTTGAGCAGAAGTGGCCTTGAACTGAACAAACCATAATTGATGCTTAGAGACTTAAAAATTAATATTTTATATTTATAACTGGTGTGGCACTTTATAGCTATTGATCTTATATTGTGGTGGAATTCTGGTGTTCTGTGTACATATTTCTAATTGTTATAAAATTATTAACAAAAGACTTAATAAACTTGTGAAGTTATTTATAATTGGTGAATGGAGGTGACGACCTGTCAATATGACCACACTTTTGATCTTTCGTTCATTGTTATGCCTATAAAAGTTGTTTTACAGTTAGTGTTTCAAGAGCCTAATGACTGTTATTTTCCCAAGAACGATTCTTATCTAATAGTTGTTACTTTTGGAAGCTTGAAATAGTTCAGGTAATTTTGTCAGCCAGGGGCGGAGCTACCCTTGGGCCAGGGTGGACACGTGCCCCCTCAAATTTTTTTGTTTGACATTAAACATATATTTTTTTAAATAAAATATAGATACATTTAATTGTGCCCACCCTCAATTTTTTCAATAAATATATATTTTTTAAAATAAAATTTAGACATATTTAATTGCGTCTACCTTATTATTGTGATATCGATTTAGATAGGCCTTAAATACTAATTAATTTTTAAATAATGTTATTGGAACTAATACATTATGATATTAAATCTAATAGTGAGTCCTTACATTTAATAAAGTCTACTATTCATCCAATGGTCACAAACCATTGGGTTCCTACCAATTAAATTTTGAATTTTTTTTGGTCAACATATAAAATTAAATTTCAAATTAAATGCATTCTTAATTTTTTAGACACAGACATGTCCGAATAATTTTTAGGCATATCACGTTCATTTTTCTAAATTATAGGATTATTTTATTATTGTATAGAAATGAGCGTCATAATGTAATAAATTACATGGTAATAAATGAAATACTGTTATTACCATTTTGTATATAAAAAAAAGTATTTAATGATATCATTGATTTGTAATTCTTTTAAATGATAAACAATAATCAGATTTAATTGTAAAATGATAATAATTAGTTTCATACGAAGTTTTAATTAATTTACTTTTATTTTTTGTTTGTTCATTTCATGCATTTTTAACCTTTTATGTTTATTGAATTTTTACGCATAATTATAGTAAATATGAATTTATGAACTTCTATGATCAATTGAAAAAAAAATAAAAAAATGTTATTTAGATTTAATTTGATGATATAATTCAATGCACCCCTTTGATTGAAAGTAGACTTCATCTAACATTGAAATTTATAACTAAAATAACAGTTACATTGAATTAAGTCATTGGTAACATTGATAAAAAAATAATTAAAATTTATTAATGTGCACACCCTAAAGTATTTTTCTGACTACACCCCTGTTGTCAGCAAACAAAGTGGTTTTAGACAACAGAACTCGCATAGGAGTTAGTTTGGAGCAATAACTATGAAGTAACATTTTAGGTTACAAGTGAGAAATATTAAGGATAATTACTTGCCAATTGAAAAAAGAAAAATTTTGGTACTCAGGACCGTAGTAAACGAGTTGTTTAAATAGGGTGATTTTTGCTATGGCTATAGCGAGGAAGGTGGTGAAGGTAAAGCCGCTTCCCAATGGCTATAGCCACTTATTAAGGATAATCACATTTGTAAAGAGCTTATTTTCTATGATTGTGTAATTTATTTGTTTATGTTTTGTTTTAAAACATCTTGAAAGGGTTCAAAAGCATCTCATGAATATGGATGAGAGCGTTTATATCTATATTATCAAAGTAGAGTACACAGTTTTCATCTTTGCCTTCAATGTAAGATATTGCTTTCTGTCATCCTTCTTGTTTTTACTTTTGTACCTTGTATAGCTTCATCAAATTATTGATTGAATATTTGATAATGAGGTTGTCTTTACAAAAAAATAGAGAGGAGAGGGGGGGGGGGGGGCAATTATTTGTCAAACCATGAAATATACCTTTTTGATATATGCCTTGTATGCAATCTGCCTAGAAATTCCCTTCAATCCCTGCATGTTCCATTTTAAGGTCTTCACTGTTATTACGACGAAATGCTTTTCAGTGGGTTGGTTAAAACTAATTTGAAATGGTCCACGTACAAAGCACGTGTTCAACAACTAATATATATATATATGCACAAGTAGAATTTTTTCCTCAATTAATATGAGATTTGTGTCAAATCTAACGTTATACAACCTCTATTTTCACAAGTCAAATAAGCCACTTTGAAGTCTATTTTCTCATTCATTTATTACTCAATTTGAACAAGTGAATACATGACGTTATTCTCCTCACGAAATAGAACACGAACTCATGAAAATTTACTCGAAACAATAAGCAAGTCCTACTTTAATTTAGACTCAAAGTTAACAAAAAAATCAATTTTTACCCTTAAAAAAACCTATTTTGATCCAACATATACTTCATTATATCCAGAATCCTTTAGCCAATGCGATTTTGTTGCCTTCTCTTGAGCCTTTAATTAATTTATGCTTGCATTACTTATGGTTCTTTCACTAACCTATTTTCTAGTGGGATTTAATAGTTATTGTTTCTCGAAATAGATTTTTCATGTGTTTATGTCTAGAAACTACAATTAGAATGTTTCTTAAAAATACGTGGAATTACAATGTCTATAATGATAAAATTGTTGCGATCTGCTTCTTAACAAAAAATAGTTAAATTTTGTGATATAATAATATTAGATCATATTAGGTTTATTAAAATTTAAATGAACTAAGTGTTTAGTGCAGCAATAATAAAGTTATAATTTAAATGAACTAAGTGTTTAGTGCAGCAATAATAAAGTGATATACTTAGTTCAGAAAAAGAAAATAAAAAACTATAAAACATAGTTATACGTTAGTTTTATTGTATACACCTTTACCCATAAGTATATACATGTTACTCTTATTATTTGATTATTTCAAAAAATTTAATATAATAAAATCAAAATTATTACTCAAAATGGTCCACTTGTAAAACACATTCTAACGACAAATTTCGTATTTAAATTAACACAAAAATAATGTCAAAATTACAATTGTGGAATGATTTGACTTAATTTATTAAAGTGGTGTTGACTCACTTCGGCATGCTTATCACGTGTACTTTTCTCTGATTCTCAGTGATTTGATGATGATGAAGCCCTAATCGACGTGTTTCTCAATCTTTGATTTGGTGGATTTTGTGAAGACAAGGCTTGATCAGCATGTTCATCAATCTTGGATTTAGTGATGCTTCGATAGATTTGTTGAAAATGAGAGTTGGATTGACGTGGCTCTCTTTCTTAGATCTTTGATTTGATGGATTTGTTGAAGAAGATGGTCAGATTTATGTGAATCTCGTTCTTCGATATTTGACTTGACTTTGTTGAATATTCTCACCGTTCTTCGTGCTGAATGGCTTGAAGATGATTTGAATATTTTAAAGAAGGACTTTGATGGTTTTCTTTTTCTTAGAGATGGATTTGCAAGACCTCAGTTGAGGATAGACTTCGACAGAATTTTATTGTTGATCTTCTCTTCTTCTCCTAAGATGTACTCCGTCAGAGTTTTCTTGATCTTCCGTCCCCCTTGTCTCCTCATTGACTTCGTTTCTTCTCTTTGGCCTCCTCTTGACTTCTCCTAAATCTTTATTTATAGTGTTAAGAGTAGTTATTTATACAAGAGTATTTTATCTGAACACCCTCATATGGACCTTAGGTAGTGGGCCACCCATTTTTGTATAAATTTATGGGATTTATTTGATTTATGAATTTAAGTCCAATTTAAGTTACCTTTAAAACTCTGTTTAATTTGGGCTGATGAAATTTAAGTCATTCTTAATTAGAAGCTTGTTTAATTAAATATGGGTCTTTATTATTTGGGCTTATGAAATTTAAGTCCAAGTCTAGTTTAATTTTAGAAGTTTGTTTAATTAATTTGGTTATATTTCAATGTGTATTTGGTCTAATGGTACTCCTTACCTTATGAAGGTTTTGCCTTCCTGAAATCAAAGATTTAAGTAATCTCCTAAGAGATTTTTTGAGTGTAACTTTTATGAATTTTGACCTTAAAACTATTCAAGTTAGGTTTAAAACCTAAAAAGGACCTGAATGTGGACATGTGGTTCGTTTTCCCTATTTTATAATAGGGTCTGGTCATATGTTCAACTGCTGATTTCCAAAATACTTTTTCAAAAAAAAAAAAAATACTCGCAAGCTATATTTGAAGACTTTCATGAATAATTTTCATTTAAAACCAAATTTTCACAATTGATACTCTTTTTTTGTTGGGGTAAGTAAAAGAAAAGCCAAAATTATAAGGGTGTTGTGAGAATCAAGTTTACGGCGTCTCGCACCCGAAGCAAGAACCATACCACTAGACCAAACACCTTTTTTAATAGATGCTCTCTTTAATTGATTATTTCTTTTTCAAGTATTGATACTCTCTTTAATTGAAAAAAAGAGAATCAAATAAAACAAAGTGGGTGTGTTCTGCCAGTTGGAATGTGATGGGTATTATTTGTAAAGTTGAGTTTTGTGTTTTCCTTCAAAATGGTGATTGATGGTTCTGTTTAGGAGTGACTTATGGCAAGATGTGATTGGATTGTGTTGTTATAAGTTTGTGCCGATTAATATTAACCTTAATTTGACCTATTTAATTTTTTATATTTGAATTGACTCATATCACTCATGAATCAAAATTTTGAAACTAAACAAATAAATTTACACACTTGACAAATCATCTTATTATTTATTTATTTTTATGGTTAATTATAGCAAATAATCCAATTTTAAATCTAGATTATTTTTTTGTAGGATCCCAAATTGTTGTTTTTGTTGGTTGTGTCATAGGCTCGTAGCCATGTCTTAAATTCAAATATCAGCCATTGACGTTATCCCGTGATTTTTCGATAAAATTTAGAGGAATATGAAACACGTGACTACAACTTCGACGGATTGTCAGTGTTAGTTTAACTGTCATTTTAAGGATAATTTTGGTAATTCATTGTTAGTGGTGTCCGTTTGGATAGGTTCGATACGTTGAGAGGTCCTCGTGCGGCGGGCAACATTAATTTCATTAAATACATAATTCCAATAATAGCCATAAAAAAATTGTCTATTAACATTAAATCCAGCCTTCCCATCAAAAGTATCGCCTCCTTGCACAACTTATGGGGAATCGAATACTCCTGAGTGTCACGTCAACTTTAATTCTTTGAATCTTGACGACTACGCAATTACATATTTGTCCTTGTTAATTAAACTAATTTACTATCAAAGCAAAGATTTATAATAATAAAATAGAATGACAATTAACAAATACCTAACGAAACGCGTTATTAGGTAAGATTGCCCAACACTTACAAAACATAAATGGGGATACTTTTCGTCAAAGATTGGAAAGTAAATAATTGATAAAAGTCTTTGATGAAACTAAGTAGGGTGTTCACCCTATTTTTTGAGTAGGAATTGTGGTATTTTACCTTCTTACCTAATATTTTGTGGAAATTTTTTTTTTTGGTCTATTCTATTCAATCAAGTATACTATTGTTATCCGAATTCCGTCCAAAACAATCAAATTGAAAGTTGGTTAAGAAATCAAGTGAACGCATATTTTTTAATTATTTATTTTTTGATCATTTTAACAATTTAATTAAATAACATGTACTAATTAACTAACACAATAAACTAATAACACTAAAGAAAACGCAATAAATTTAATAATACATAAACAATTACAGTAAAATACAACAAGAAAATCATAAACATTAGTAAATCATATATAAAAAAGTCATAAACATCAATAAAATATTGGGTTTCTAGATTTTTAGATTTTAATTTTTAGATATTAACATATATATATATATAAAGAGATAGAGAGAGAATAATGTTATTTGGACCTAAAATACTCACTTAATTTACTGATATAATGATGTGGCTTCATAGGAATCATTAAATCAACATCAAGTTCTAATGTTTGCTGAAATTTACAGTAAATTCAAATGTCACAGTGAATTAGATTAACAAATTATGTTAGTAAATTAGATCTCAATAACATTGCGTATAAAATATGCATTTATACTTTTTTAAGATAGAAATACTGGAATTTTATCTTAACCTACCCATAGGTTAAGATAAATTGTTGTTTTTGTTGGTTGTGTCATAATTTGCTACTCTGGGTGGGATTTTTGTTCAATAGCATTGCTTATATGGGTAGGTTAAGATAGGAATACTGAAATTTTATAGGTATTCTACATTCTTACTCCATTTTTAACGGAATATCAAAAACTTTTTTGTTTGCCTACACAATTCTTTCGGGTAGTCGATCAATAGAGTCGGGTAAAGTAGGATAAGGTTGGAATTTGTGGTAATTGAAAATTTAAACACCCCTAAAACTAAGTAAGTTTGAGTAACCACATAGTCTTAATTATTAGCAAATATTAATATTTCATGCAAAATCATAAGAAAATATTTAGTGCTCTATTTAGTATGATGGAAAATTTGGGAGATAGATAAAACATCATCTTTGGTAAAGAAGAAAAATAGGATAGATGAATAAGTTTTTCTTTCAACTCACCAAAATTAATCCCTTCAAAATTGAAAGGAAAGTGGATGAAAAATTAATTATCTGTGTTGAAATGTATTTTATTTGTCTAAATATCATTTGATATATACATATATNGAGAGATAGATAAAACATCATCTTTGGTAAGGAAGAAAAATAAGATAGATGAATAAGTTTTTCTTTCAACTCACCAAAATTAATCCCTTCAAAATTGAAAGGAAAGTGGATAAAAAATTAATTATCTGTGTTGAAATGTATTTTATTTGTCTAAATATCATTTGATATATACATATATTATGTATACATTAATATCATTTATTAATACAATGATAAAATATGTATTTATACTTTGTTTAAAAAAATAAAATAAAAAATAAAAAAATATTTTTTTCCATTTTATCAAGCATAAAAAAATTAATTATTTTTATTTTTCATCTATCCTACCAAATACAAAGAAAAGAAAGTGTATCATTTCTGCTTTCCTTCCTTGAATGATATAAAATGTATCCTTCTTACTTTTCATTCCTTCTACTTTTCATCATTCGTGCCAAATAGAGCATAAAGCTATGTTTTCATTTAAAAAATGTGGATATTATGTTTGNACCAAGCATAAAAAAATTAATTATTTTTATTTTTCATCTATCCTACCAAATACAAAAAAAAAAGTGTATCATTTCTACTTTCCTTCCTTGAATGATATAAAATGTATCCTTCTTACTTTTCATTCCTTCTACTTTTCATCATTTATGCCAAATAGAGCATAAAGCTATGTTTTCATTTAAAAAATGTGGATATTATGTTTGGTGTTTATTAAGATGCACATGTGGGCTGATCGAATACTTAACTAGTATTCAATGTCATTTGCATCAAAGTGATTTCTCTCCAACGCTCATTACTAGTCTAGTACCGATTGACTACTATTNTGGTGTTTATTAAGATGCACATGTGGGCTGATCGAATACTTAACTAGTATTCAATGTCATTTGCATCAAAGTGATTTCTCTCCAACGCTCATTACTAGTCTAGTACCGATTGACTACTATTCAATATCATTTGCATCAAGTGGTTTCCCTCCAAAGATCATTACCTAGTTTGGTTGGGATTAACCCATCCTATTAATAAAAATAAATATTACACATATCCATCTTTTAATATTGCATACATAAAACAACTATTCTAAAATTCGACAAATTCTCACACTGGTATATATATCCAAATATGTAATAATGCTTTAGGGGTAAAAATCGATCTCCTCTCAAAAAACATGAAATTTTCGTTATGAGGCCAGGCCATCCATACTCCTAGAATCCAAATGTGGGGGCTTTAAAACAAAATTTATTGATGAAATATATATCCACTAAGCTTGGTGATAAAAACTTATAGGGAAATAGTCACTTACTATTAGTTACTTACTTTGTTATGTAGATTAAAAGCACCCTAAATAAAAAATTCTATGGTTTTATGGAGCATTTTCAATACAAGCTTTTATTTTACTAGTAATGCACACGTGCATTACACATGAAAAAAATTAGATCATAAAATTTTGATTATAGTTTTTAGAAATACGAAGTGTATGAAGATGACGAAGCAAAATGTTATTGATATATGCATTCAATGGCTTCTTAAATTCAATAAGACTTTCTGGTATTACAACACAAGACTANTACGAAGTGTATGAAGATGACGAAGCAAAATGTTATTGATATATGCATTCAATGGCTTCTTAAATTCAATAAGACTTTCTGGTATTACAACACAAGACTAAGAAAATTCCTAAATATATTTTACTAATCTAAAATTATTCCACCACCACATGAATTCAAAAAGTGTGGTAACAAAACTAATTCTACTTATAATATAATAACAACTCCTAAAACACTACCAGTCTACTAATAATAAACAATTAAATATTAGAATATTAGTTTAATCTCCGGCACATATTAAGCTTTTCATTCCATGAAAGTACATTTTTTTNTACTAATAATAAACAATTAAATATTAGAATATTAGTTTAATCTCCGGCACATATTAAGCTTTTCATTCCATGAAAGTACATTTTTTTGGCATTTTTATCACTTTGATGGGAACATCAATTCAATCGAACACAAACTAATTTTAGTTCCAATTCCAAAAACTGCTGCAAGGTAGACAGAGCATTTATGCAATGACTATACCCAAATAGATGGAAAACAAAGTAAAAAAAATACCATATCAACAATAGACATGTTTTGAGAGAGAAAAAAAAAAAACTTACAGGTTGAGGACACTAAGCACCATCGACCCACCAATCTGCACAATCATAATATGTGTTAACGTTAAGGGAATAGAGATGTAAGACCACTAATTTTAATAGATTTTGAAGAAAAAATTNGCATTCAATGGCTTCTTAAATTCAATAAGACTTTCTGGTATTACAACACAAGACTACGAAAATTCCTAAATATATTTTACTAATCTAAAATTATTCCACCACCACATGAATTCAAGNTAAATATATTTTACTAATCTAAAATTATTCCACCACCACATGAATTCAAGAAGTGTGGTAACAAAACTAATTCTACTTATAATATAATAACAACTCCTAAAACACTACCAGTCTACTAATAATAAACAATTAAATATTAGAATATTAGTTTAATCTCCGGCACATATTAAGCTTTTCATTCCATGAAAGTACATTTTTTTTGGCATTTTTATCACTTTGATGGGAACATCAATTCAATCGAACACAAACTAATTTTAGTTCCAATTCCAAAAATTGCTGCAAGGTAGACAGAGCATTTATGCAATGACTATACCCAAATAGATGGAAAATAAAGTAA